TGCGGGATTTAGTCTACCCTTACGGTAAATAATTTCGTAATCGTATTCCTCCAACTTTAACCTCCATCGTTGGAGCTTACTGCTAGGATCTTTATGATTAAATAACCACTTAAGCGGTCTATGGTCGGTAATGATAAGGAATTTATGTCCATAGAGGTAGGGACGAAATGTTTTACAGCCGTATAATATAGCCAACAACTCTTTTTCAGTCGTGCTATAATTTGATTCACTTTTATTAAGTGTGCGCGAAGCATAAGCTACGGGTTGGTCTCTACCAACAGGTCCCTGCGAAAGTACGGCACCGACGGCATAGTTGGATGCATCACAGGTAAGAATGAAAGGTAGGGAAAAGTCAGGGTAGATAAGAAGTGGTGCGGTTGTCAGATTGTGTTTTAATGTGTCAAAAGCAAGTTGTTGTTGGTTTTCCCATTTGAATGGTGTATCCTTTTTTAAGAGGTTAGTAAGGGCTTTTGCGGTCTTGGAGAAATTGGGAATAAAGCGGCGATAGTACGAAACAAGACCGAGAAATGATTTTATATCTTTAGGCGTTTTTGGAACTGGAAATGCGGTTACAGCTTTGATTTTATCGGGATTTGGTTTAACCCCCTTTTCGGTAATGATGTGCCCGAGATAACCAACTTCACGTCGAAGGAATTCGCATTTATCTGGTTGTAGTTTGAGATTGAAATCTCGGATTCTTTGGAAAATCTCTTTTAGATTGCGGATACTCGTTTCAAGGTCAAACCCGTAGCAGACTACGTCATCTAAGTACACAAAACATCGGATTCCTTGGAGACCTGATAGGACGGAGTTCATAAGTCTCTGAAATGTTGAAGGAGCGTTTTTAAGTCCGAATGGCATTCTTGAGAATTGGAAATGTCCTTCAGGAACAGTGAAAGCGGTTTTGGGTTTGTCGGCTTCATTTAATTCAATCTGATGGAACCCGGATGCTAAATCTAGGGTTGAGAAGTATTTACTGTTACCAAGTTGATCAAGGATCTCGGTGATTTGGGGAATAGGATAAGTATCACCGATTGTTACGTCATTAAGCTTACGGTAGTCGATTACTACTCTCCATTTTTGGATATTAGAAGCGTCAAGCTTTTTAGGGACCACCCATATTGGCGATGACCAGGGGGAATCAGAGGGTTCTATAATTTCCTGTTCCAGCATTTTATCCATTTGTCTACGGACTTCGGCTTTATGTATTTCGGGGAATCTGTAAGATTTAGTGTGTATTGGTATGTCCGTTGTAGTTTTAATTTCATGTTTTAGGGCATTAGTATGGGTAAGATTTTCTCCTGGAAGATGGAATATGTCAGAGAAGTCGGAACATAATTGCAGAAGAGCGGTTTTTTCTTCTTCGTTTAAATGTGATACGCGTAGCTGTTTTAATACTTCTGCTGTACGCTCGACGCTATTGGTTGAAACTCGTATATGGTTTATTGAACTAGCTGGTTGTTCCTTGAATTCTGAAGGTGCAATAGGATTAAGTTTTAGGTTTAGGTTCGAATTTAATGTGATAGGTTTATCGGAAGTGTTAGCGACGGATATGTTAATTCGATTGTTTTCTTTTACGCGTACTATGCAATTGGCGATCAATAAAGTCTCTGAAAACTTCTGATCGAGGATTACCCCTACTTTTATCTCAGGATTAGACACAGAACACTCAATAATGGTTTCGGTTCTAGCAGGAATTAAGTAAGCGGGATCATGAAAGTGTAATTTTAAGGATGAATTACCCAGATGGAGCAGATTATTATTATAATTAATGTTGCAGTTATGCATATTCAGCATATCGGAGCCGATAATTCCATCATAAGGTAAATGTATTACGTCAATGACGTGGAAGGGATGTGATATTGTGGATTTAGAAAGCTGTAATTTTAATCGGAAGTGGCCTCGAGTATTGATGGGTTCTTCTTTCGAGTCAATGCCTTTTAATTGAATCGTTTCTTTGATAAGTCTAGGGTGCTTTTCTATGCATGAATGTTTTATCAAACTTACAGATGACCCTGAGTCTACTAACAAGGATAGCGGGATGTCTGATACGGAGGAATTAACTAGAACGTGTGGTAATAATGTTTTTGCAGGGTTATTTGTAATTTCAAAAATATTTGATTTAGAAGGTTTTGGCGGTTTACCTTGTTTTTGTATCGATACAGTGGAATTAGGCAGACCAACATGATGTTGCTGCACGGATACAGTGGATTTTGGCAGATCAACATGACGTTGTTGCGCGGATACAGTGGATTTTGGCAGATCAACATGACGTTGCTGCGCGGATACAGAGGATTTTGGCAGATCAACATGACGTTGCTGCGCGGATACAGAGGATTTTGGCAGATCAACATGATGTTGCTGCACGGATACATAGGATTTTGGCAGATCAACATGACGTTGCTGCGCGGATACAGAGGATTTTGGCAGATCAACATGATGTTGCTGCACGGATACAGAGGATTTTGGCAGATCAACATGACGTTGCTGCGCGGATACAGAGGATTTTGGCAGATCAACATGATGTTGCTGCACGGATACAGAGGATTTTGGCAGATCAACATGACGTTGCTGCGCGGATACAGAGGATTTTGGCAGATCAACATGATGTTGCTGCACGGATACAGAGGATTTTGGCAGATCAACATGATGTTGCTGCACGGATACAGAGGATTTTGGCAGATCAACATGATGTTGCTGCACGGATACAGTGGATTTTGGACTTGTGATACCGTTTTTTGAATTATGACGTCCCGCACGGCACCGGGACGAGACGATTACTCGTTTTTTGGATCGGCATCAACGGTATCATAACCCTCTGTGGGGTTAGCCGAATATCCATCGTTATTGTCTGAGGATTCGTCGGAAATGAAGTTGACGCGTTGTAGCGTTCTTTGCTGATTCGGGTCGAAATTCTTGAAACGGTTGTTGTTGAACTCCCTTTTCCGACATTGCTCTAAGGTATGACCTGGCGTTTTACAGTACCTACAGAATTGAGTAGAAGAATTGTTGTAGTTATTATTAGATCTGTTAGGGTTATTAAAGTTAGGTTTTACGTTGTACTGGTTTGAGGTCGAGGGTTGTTGATTTTGGTTACGACGAATAAATTGAGTGTTTAGTTTTGTAGCGTTTGACCTATCTTGTCGTGGTTGTTGAGTGCTTAACGAATTCGGACCTTGTCTGGATAGGGACTGTTGTATTTTTTCTTCTGAAATGGCCATATTTATGGCTTCATTTAGAGTTTTTATTGGTTTACCCCTGACAATGTTAAAGATACGGGGTGTCAATCCCATTTGGAAATGATGGAGGGCTAATTCCTCCATGGCTGCCGTGCGTCCTATCATCTCTCGACCTTTATGACCGTGTGAGATAGATATTTCGGTTAACAGATGAGACAGGCATGTCTCGATCCTTAGAGCATATTGACTTACATTTTCATTTATTTGTTGTTTACACTCCTGTAAATCTGTTAAAAGATGGGCATAGTGCTTTCTTTCACTGAATTGTGTTTTTAGAAATTCTTTCAGTTGTTGCCAATTTGAAAATTCTTTGATGGAGCATGCGGTTTCCGCCTTGCCCTGTAGTTGGCATAGAATGTATTTAAAGAGTATGTCTTTTTGTGATTCTGATGCTAGTTCATAGGCGTTATTGCAGTTTACTAAGAAGGAATTTAGTTTTTCTCTGCAGCCATCGTATGGCTTTATGAATTTTAATAACGTGGAAAGCTCAATTTCTAATTTAGATGTTACAGTTTTAATTTTTTTTGATTGTGATCTAGTAGAAGGTCCTTGAGGGGGAGGGCAGAGGCCTTGGCCTTCCTCTTCGGTATCAGTAATGTTAATTTCCAATTTTGGACTTTGGGATCTCTCAGTCATCTTAACAATTACAAATACACAATAAGGTTGAAATAACAATAATTTGAACAATATACGTATGTGACGGAATACGTTACAGAATAGAGTAATGATATTTAAAAATCTCAAATATAATGTATTAGTTTTAAATAAGAAATTAGCAATGACCAAGTGTATGGTTTCACTTACTGGAATACGGACAGCGCGATAAGAATAACGGACATGGTTTCTTGGAAGATTCACAGGCGAAGCGTAGGCGTTGATAAGCCGAAGGTCGTCGCGTCGTTGGAGATATTACACCGGTCACAGCACTAACTTGGCGTGACAATGGGTGTAATCCTTCTGGTTCTGGACAAAGACCGGCTGCAGCACGGGTGGTGCACAGCAATGGGCCTTTCACAAGCTTTATCACGAACACTGACGTCCAGGAGTCGGGCTCGAACTCGGTGCACTGACACTTTGTACACTATGGAGTCGGCAATTACACTCAAATACACTCGCGCCGAATTTGAACTTTTTAAGAGACGTACCGGGGACTCTTTTCGAATCCCTTAACGCTGCCACCAAATATGTTACGAGTCTCGGGGAACTTGTCTTTTTAAAAAGAAATAAAATACTAAATAGGGTTAAGACAACCGTCTGGCTTGGATATCGGGATGAGACTGGTCATGAGTGGACGGGTCGTTCGGCTATTGATGGAGAAATGCTGAGTGTGCAGAGTAGAAGTGTGGGGTGTGCAGGAATGCTTACATAAGGCATCTCTAACAGAACGCTAAAGAGGCTTCTGTGCTTCTGGAAGGAGCTTGGTTGGCCCACCTAGCTAACCTTAACTCGCATAAAGAACCATTTCTGAGTTTAAATCCGGAAATACCAATGTGTATTACACTAACTACGTAACAGGCTTTCCATAGGTACTTTAAATTATCTAACGTATTGATCAGAAGGTCATTTCTCGTAATAAAAGTTTGGACAAAATTCATTTTCGTTTTACTCTCGATCTCACAAATGTAATTAAGGTATTATCGTACTAAACTATTAAACATCCAATGTTGACTGTAATGTGATTATATCGTATTGTGACCGAAAGTTGAATCGGTAATCTGCAAGACTTAGTTATACTTTACTTACTGTTTTTTCTTCTTCTAGGTCTAAGACAGAAGCAAGAACTTCGCGAGTTGACGCCCAATGGGTCCAGAAAGAAAACCAGTTCGTCTGGTAAGGAGAAGGTTAAACTCAACATGGAGAAGTGTCTCATCGTGTCCAAAGTTACCCGATATGAGTATGAAAAGTAAGTAGCAGTTCAGTAGCAGATTCTTCTTCTTTCTACTTTAAAAAGAAATCTCCCACTCTAGGAATTATTCTTATTTTACTGAGATCTAGGTCACCTAGATTCGGGAAAGTTACTTCTGAATTACATAATTTTTGTCCTTTTTGAGTGCGTGGCGAAGCGACCACTTAAATTATTTCGCTATATGTGCATTTTGTCTATTTTGTCTGTTTGCACCAAAACTTGGCTCCGGTTCTAGAGATATTAGAAGCGAGATGGTCTACTCACATACCTCATAGTTAAATAAAAGCCATTCCTTTCTTTTAATTGGTATTTGCAAAAAATAGTGCACGATACTTCGACCCCTATATGGGACAACACTTTGTGTGGTCCACAAACTGTTGTTCTGAGTCTGGGTGTTGTTCCCCTTTTTTTTTTTTTTTTTTTCGTGCGGAAATCCCCTCGTATACCACCTGTCGGTGGCATGTCGGACTCGAACCGACTAAAACCGCACGCCGTCTCGGGTACTAATAGCCGGGGAACCAGGTATACCCTAGAAAGGAAGTCCCTGGTACAGGGTGTTTTTCCCCTGCATATTCCTAGTGTAGGAGTTTACATACAAGAAAAATAAAGTTAGAAAAAAATAGGGCGTTTTTAGAAGTATTTTAGAATGGCAACGATTTCATGCGTCTGCAACATTATCCGTTAGAAATAGAGGTACTTTCACATGCACAAATACGCAAGATTGAGTTACCTCTTTTGATAATATGTACTATCAACACAACGTTTTTTTATCTTTTATATAATCTATCTATGGCCTAAATTTTCGTTCGCGTCGACACTTTTAGAGCACTAGGCCAAGTGTACGACAAAAAAGATATGAAATAATCACAAAAATATTTCCATTGCGCCTGCGCATGCAGTCGAGATAATTATCATTTGAGATAAATAAAATGCACAATTATGTTATAAAAGCATAAGAAGTGTCTTTTGTATTAAGTGGGTTATAGTTTGGCTTAATGCACTTAAAAACCGGATAACCGAACTTTTATAAAAATAGAGGGAATGTAAATATGACCTGAGCTGATAAGGTCTGTATTATTACGGAAAAGGGCTTTGTTGTGTAAGATTGTTGGGCTTCTGATAACCCTGCTTCTTCGGTGATATGTAAAGAAAGTGTTGCTTAGAGTTTTATGTAAGATCGTGCTATCATAAAGGTCAAGCCGGTCCGTACTCCTGTGACTATGTTAAATGCGACATGAAAGAAAGAAACAAAAGTATTTATTTCATAAGTGACGTTGACGTACACAAACTTAGTACCTGGATGGCCGGAGAACCCCCCGAAGCCCCTGCTTACTAAATTTAATGATAATCGTTGGAGCCGTTTCCTAGATTCAGATTACATATACAGGGTGTAAGGGACATCGTAACGAATAGTGTATTCAGACCATCATTCTGAGTCTAAAATCATTTGAATTTTCTGCCTCAAAATTAAAGTTTTTATGCAATCTGCTGTCAAAGGTAAAGGTCATTCACCGCAGGTATCGCACAAAAGTAATAACTACATGTGTCTTCCGTGCAAACAGTCTACGTACACTAACACAAGTTGGCGGCCGGAGATTAGGCCCAGCGCGCTTCGTCTGTTTGATTAATTACATTGCAGTTTTTGACCGTATGCGGTTTTTATTGATTTGTTTTCGGTTAAATATTCTGATCACTCATTGTGATATTATTTTAACCATCATCATCATCAACAGCCTTTAATAGTCCACTGCTGGACATAAGTCTCTCCTTAGAAAGGAGGTTTTGGCCTACTATTATTTTAACCAAAAAATGGAAAATTCTAAAAAAAAAATATGAATTTTCCGGCAGAAAACTCCAATGATTTTCGACTCAGAATCATGGTCCGAATACACTATTTCAGTATTCGTTACGATGTCCCTTACACCTTGTATATCTACAAGAATTGCTCGTTTAAAGGTATTAGATGAACTAAATAAAAAGGACAACATAAAAAGTTACTTGCACGATGTACTAAAAAAAAGCAATCAATAAACTTTTCAAAAAATGATTTTTTTATTACTTTATTACACGTTCTGTGACAGTTTCAAAGATCACGTTTACGATAAAATTATCTCATACCGCTTGGCTACTATCATTACAACCTGATAACCTACCTAAGTTAACGTGAGTGAATACATACAATGTTTAAACATATGGCAGTAAGATTTAGGTATAAACTAAAAATATCTTTTTATCACAAAACCTATTACAAGTATCAATACCGCCCAGGTCGCAGATACAGATTGCAATTTAGTAAGAATTTTAAAAAGTAGGTATCTTTTTATATAGCATAAGCAATGTAATTTCAGATTTAAAAAAACCTTAATTAACTCGGAAACACTGTAAATTTAGCGACTTAGCGTTACACTTCGCATTATTTACAAACCACAGGTTTTCTATATATTATGATGATGTATAATTTTTGTTTAATGCAAATTTTATTTGATAAATGAAAAAAAGATGATTTGTCTGCGTTATTTGACTCCTTCAAAAAGTAAATGCGGCTTTGTTAATGTGACTTGACTAGTTATCGACCACTTTTTTTTTATTAAACGTCAAAATGATTGATGGTGTACATTTTTTTAAAACGCTTTATGTGACGTCATAACTAGCTATTGTTAAATTATATGAGTATTTAATGTTAATTTGAAGATATCGAAACAATAGAAACATTAAATTGATGATGGAGGACAATTCAGGTTGTATTTTAAGATGTTATATTTAATGATGCAGGCTAAGTAATTTATTTTGAATTTAGGAATCTACTCTTTTATGCTTAAGCGTGTGTGTTATGTTAGGTTAGGAAATAAAGTGAACACGAAAAAAAAGACAAATTAGTTCGTGTCTCGAGTAGTTAGCATCATCAGCCTATCGGGGTCCACTACTGCAGGAAGGCCGTCCCCAAAGAGGTCTTAGGCAGTCAACATCCATCCGCTGCCAGCTTAGCAATTAAATAACAAAAAATACTGTCTAAGGAGTTAGGTGTTTATTCAACTACGGAACCCGAGAGGATATCACATTCCCAGCGTGGCGGGCATTGTCGCACGGCGACTCATAGATTCTGAGGATTTCCAAAAGATGGCGATTGCCTCTCATGTTTGACAGCAAAACACACTTGTCAAGTAATTATTATTGTCGAGTCCGACATAGTTGTGATGAAATCACAAGAAGAAGTGTAAGATATCTTCAAGTTAGTTTTTTTTTATTGCTTTTGTGTGGCGAATAAAACAGGAAACGGAATGAAAATGAATCGATGATGAATTGCTTTTTAAAAAGACAAACAGCCTTTAATTTGATTTGAATTCTTTTCAAATAGCTGAAATATAAATAATTCTCAATTACATCGAGAAAATCGCTTGTGACGTTTTCCAAGTACGAGTAAATCCTAAAAATGCTTGTTTAATCTTGAGGAGCGCTTTAGTCCATGTATTTGATATATGAATGGTAGAAGAATATGATCTAGTAACAATGGGGTTATCCGTATGGTGACGGATACGGAGGTAAAATACGGAGTGTCACCACCCCTATTCATCCCCTGGGTGTCGTAAGAGCCGACTAAGGGAGCAAACTACGCAGGATAACAGTACGGCAAAGAGAAGAAAAACTTGTAACAAACCCTATTACAAACCCGTCTGGGCAGTGTGGCATGGTTATAGACCAAAACCTTAATTTTTTAAAGAGAGGCCTATGTCCAGCAGTAGAATATTGTAGGCTGTTGATGATGATGAACAAAAGGGTGGATCCCGGGGCTTAAAGTAGATCATTTAATCGTGTAAAAAAGTACAAAAGTGTTTTTCTATTTTCAAATCAACATTAAATATAAACAATTTGAAAATAGTTAGGTATGACGTCACGCCACAGTATTTCAAACAAAAACCGCGTCTCGTTTGACGTTTAATAAAAAGATACTGATCTCTGTCGATGTCAATTACATACATGTATTTAATCCTTGTTGCTCTAAATGCATACATTATTTGCAAACATTGCATATATGCAAACATTATTATACATAGGTATAGCTTATGTATTTACTCTCCTTACCGTATGAACACTAAATAAATATTGTTTTTGCCTGACATACTGTTGTTGTACTGAATAACTAGGCATTGCGAGGATCTGCTTATAATAATATTGTGGCAGATAAAGTTTAATACAATAATCACGATATATGCGTTTGATGTACATGTAAAAGTAAACAGGTTATACGCCCTCGACAACTGTAATACAATAATATTTTTTCTTTAATAATGGGTATCTGAAATCAAGGTGCCTAAATTATGATCAATTATAATATTATATGTAGGTTACAATAGCTTAATGTCCACAACACATCGGCTTTTTACTAAATATACTCGTAGTTTTTTCGAAAGACTTTATTCTGACATTCCAATCTACTGTCAAAAAGATTTCGAGGTGATTTGGAATGTCAGAATTAAACTATCATAAAAGGGCAATTTCAAAAGACCCGGGTAATCTTTAAGAAAAAGCAAATAGCTTAAAACTATTGTTCCATTTCTAAAAACCTATGTATATAATTATAAACATTTTCCTAATTACGCCTTTGTATTCCAGACACTGCCATGATAATATCTGTGATATTGAGTTGGAGAAGATACTCCGCAAACGAGGGTCAGACTACGAGGCTATGATGGAGACGCACCTGCGACAGAAGGCATTCGAGGAAAATGTAGCCAGCAGTCTCAAAAAGATAGGACTCAAGGTTGAAATGGCCAGCAGGTAAAATAATAGCGATAATCAAAAGTTTTTTTTAATGTATGGTAACACTTACTATTTCAATCCATTAGGGATGTGACTCTCAGGTAATAACTACTAAAAATAAAATTCTGGTATTATTAGGTAAATCACTATTGTTTGTAGAGTGGAGGTGCGAAGTAGTATATGGTTGCAAAATCCTTTAATTAAGTAGGTATATTAAAGCCACACCAAAGCGTGGGCGTAAGAGCAACGGCCGCAGATGCGTAAATTAAAACTTCTACTTAAAGATGCCATAGGGTATTTATTTTATTTTAAAAGTTTATTTCCCATCCGGAACAAATGTCGTGTGATGAGCACGATCATTTGATCTGTGTCTGGGTATAATTTATCTATTGTATGTATTTAGAAATATATAAGTATGTTTATCAGCAGTCTGATTATAACCTCTGCCTAATTTGGCATCAGATGGCTGTGTTGTGTATTTAAGTTAGTTGTGTATTTAAGTTAAAAATTACAATGGCGGACTAAATGTAGTATTTTGTTATATAGTCGGAGTGGGCTGGTCTGGACTGTACATAATATTTTCGGATGTATTAATATCAGCTGTTCCCGGAGCCCTGCTATCTAAGGCGTGGATTGGCACACCGTGTTCTTTAGTCGGTTCGATTCCCACACTCCGCCCCGCCGCAAACCCCGGTGGGGTAAGGGCCCAAAGGCTGTTTAAACACGTTAAAAAAAGACTGTCCATCATCATCATCATCATCAACAGCCTTTAATAGTCCACTGCTGGACATAGGCCTCTCCTTAGAAAGGAGGTTTTGGCCTACTAATACAAACACTGTCCATAATATTACAAAAAAAGTGTGATGTATTTTTTATTCCAAATAATCTGATTTTATAAATTCAATTCAGCATTTGTTTTTTTTTTTATAGATTAACATATAACGATGATTTAATAAACTGGTGCGATGTGGTGATGCCCTGTGGCGGTGATGGCACTTTTCTTCTAGCTGCTTCTAGAGTCAGAGATGCTAAGTAAGTTGAATTGGATTGTGTTTGTTTGTAAATCTATCTGTGTTTCTACTTCTTTCTATTATAAATCGTGTTTTGCAACCGTTTTTACGTATTTTGTTGTCTTTTACGATTTTTTAACAAAATAATGAAAAAACTAGCTGCATTTAGCCTCAGTAATTGCAATTTCAGGGTAGTCGTACTGCGTCGACATATTATTGAGTTGTCTTGCCGAACAGGCAACACTGAAACCAGTTCAGTACATAGTGATTCTGACGTGGGTTCGATTCCCATTCAGAACAAATACTTGTGTGATGAGCATGATCATTTATTCTGCGATATAATATGCATGCTTTGAATATATATATTTATCAGTAGTCTTGTTACCATAGTTCAGGCTCTGGGTAGTTTAGGATCAGACAGCCATTTATGAGGTCTGTCAAGTTATACTACTAATATTTTTTGTAACTTAATCAAACTTAATGTTCTTACTTTAAACATGCTAACCATGTTTAAAGTATGAATTCTGAAGACGTCTGATGTTGACGCCTAAATACCTACTTTAAATTTTTTCTTTATTTTATTTTAGTAAACCTGTCATTGGCTTCAACAGCGCCCCACATAAGTCTGTTGGACGGCTCTGCCTACCGACTTGGTGTTCCAACGATGTTAAGGGCGCGTTCCAGGCATTAAAAGAGGTGGGTGTTCAGAATAATGTCCATAGATTTAGTATAAACTCTAGAGGCATAGAGAGTAACATAGGCGTCCTTTTCTAGCGGTGCTATAGCTTCAGGTTGATTTTATTTTTCTCTTTAGTCTTGTTACTAAAAGTAATTCAGCTATTTGCTTTATCTAGACCAATAAATAATTGATTTAAAAGGAATAATCCATACATATATTATGTGAAAGTGAGTTTGTTTGTTAGTTTATTAGCTTTTACGCCTAAACCACTAAACCGATATTTTAAAACCTCTTTCACTAATAGAATGCTACATTATCTTATCAGCCAGTAATATAGGCTACTTTAAAAATCTTTATTGTACACCGCTGCAGTATATATTGTACAGACAGGATGGTTTACATTTGGTCTACATTTTGGTATTACAATAGGCGGTCTTGTAGGCGGCTCATGGCAATCTCTTACAGACAACATTTACACGGATATTGTCGAATCTGATATCCGAGGGGGTTACCGCACAGAAAAAAGGGTAGTCTGTTGTGCACTTTATAGTACTCTAGATAATTAATATACTTTTTACCGCGGGCATTAGCTGGTAATAAGTATTTTGTCAGTTTCCAGTGTTGCCACATGTATAGGCCGACTCGACCAGAGTGATACCACGGCTTCACAAAAAACCGGTGTCCAGCAATACTGTCGTTGCTTTTCCGAAGTTTCCGAAAGCCTAAAAGACCCCTCCCACTAATAATTTAGGGATTGGGAACTCAAAAGGAGGCAACTTCCTCCTCCAACTTCCTCTCCCAAAGGATTAGCAGTTACTTCGTAGTTCGTTGTGTCTTTGATAGATGGCGCTGTAGTATGTTTCTTCGTTTCGCCGTAAGTGACGACCTTCACATACGGCGAAACGTAGAAACTCACTAAACAACACTCCCTAAAAATAAAAATAAATGTAAAAATATATATATATACATATATCATCATCATCATCATCATCATCAACAGCCTATACTAGTCCACTGCTGGACATAGGCCTCTCCTTAGAAAGGAGGTTTATACATATATGATGAACTATATTATGGATGTAATAGGGTAAATGGATTGAATAAGATACTTTATAGTATCATATTCAATCCATTTACCCCACCTTACTTAAAGGTACGTTTTGTGTTCCTCAGTGACACACATCTGAGATCCTTAAGGTCGTCGGTATCTTTGGAGCTAATGGTACCTAGACACACTACCATATTCTATGGCAAATCTTTCATGGTGCAGGCTGTCAGATTATGGAACGTCTTGCCGATATTTATAGGACGTGCCCAAACACTGACAGCTTTTAAAAATATGGTCAAAGATCACTACTTTTGTTCATAGTTCATAGTACTCTTTGCCTGCATTGAGCTTCATTAGACTACCCACTGTTTTATCTCATCTACTGTCGATTTGTCCATCCAAAGGTTGCCTGTAAGAGATTGCTATTAGCAATTAGGCCGCCCATTGTACATATCCATCTGTAATATTTGACCAAGGTACTGTAATTGAAGTACAATAAAGCATATTCTATTAGTTTCTCATTAGGTAATCGAAATCACTGCCATCACCACTTCAGGACTGTGATGTTTGAAGGGAACTTGAACCCATTTCAAAAAAAGAGACATCTTAATTCGAATGTATTTTTGAATAATAAAAAACATATGCTATAAAGATACTATGATTCCAGGGCCGGTTCTCATGGATGAGGCGTTCGAGGATACGCACCACGATCACCAGCGAAGCCAAGTTATTGGACAGCATCACACCTATCGACCTGCACGCACTGAGTTATTGCAGGTAAGATGCAAAATTAATCCTATTATCAAATTATTCTTATTGATAATACTAACTTTGAAACCTTTCTTCGCTTGTGTTCATGTAGAATTAGTCACTTAATTATTGTACCTATTATTTTTCCGTACCTAACAATATGTGTGCGAATTTTCATGAGTAAGGTGTACAAAGCGCCTATATAATAAATAAACAAACTTAAATAGTGACTCACAAATTTCTAACATAACTTACCATTACATTTATTTTCTTTAAATGAAATTTAGGAAGTAAAATTAGATTGAAATTTAGCAACTAAAATTGGAATAAAATTTAGCAACTAAAATAAGGACTTGATAAATGAACTTTTAGCCAAAAACGGTTTATCTAATTGCTTAGTTGTGCTTCCCTCACAGAGATTTAGCATTAGATAGACCGTTTTTGGATAAAAGTTCCTCTATGCTGTTTTCTCTATCTCGGTATGCAAATTTCGCCATAACGCAATATGTAAATACACACACCAACCCATCGCATTTAACGTTTTATTAGTTTTTAGATAAGATTAAACAAAATTAAGCAACTAAAATCAAATTATTGATTATTTCACAGAAATTTAGTTGGATTATTTCTTAGCTTATATGGGTTATATTTCGTGACAGATATCCACCAGTTCGACATGCTCATGAAGGAGCTGAGGCAGACAATATGGATCTTTCGTGCAAGGTAACTGAAGGTTGCGAGCTTGCAACTAAAGTTCTGCCGCACTTGGCATTAAATGAGGTGAGTTAGTACATTTTTTTAGTAGCTTTGTATTATGATGATCAAAATATTTTCGAGGGGGTTTTTGTCAAAGAGACGTCATTAATATCAGTTTTGTATAAATTTAAATAAAAAAATAACCTCGATTTTCGTTTTCGTTTTAAGGCGGTTTAATTTTCTAATAAGACTACGAGCAAATAGGAAAAGGGTTAACACTTCTATGAGGCATAGCTTTGGGACAGCAGGAGTGACTGAGTTGCTACAAACATAATTATACATTTATTTTACTCTTAGTTCGTGTAATTGTAAAGAGCTAATTTTCAGTCGCATCACTACCCTTACATGGCTTCTCCCCACAATATAACAACACTGGATTATAGACTCTATGTTTAAGCAACTAAGGATGTTATTCCTCTGTATAGAAGTCTGTTAGTTTATTCTCATTTCTTCAATTTCTCTCATTTCTTCTATTTCTTTAACAAGGTTTTCATAGGTGAGAGTGTGACGTCACGAGTATCCCTCCTCCGGCTACAGATCGACAACGGCGCGTGGACGCACACCAAGAGCTCCGGCCTCTGCGTCACCACCGGCACCGGCAGCACATCCTGGCACTTCAGGTGAGGGGCAACTGCTTTAAAGGAGAGTTAGAAGGCGATGAGGTGGAAGGAAATTGAGACTGAATATTAGTTTCATCATGCGGCTTCTCTTCTGTAACAGTTATTTTTACCATTACACTTAAAAAAGTTTCAATACGTGTAACAGTCATATGCTATGTGAGAAAACTACTCATAAAAGCCAGAATTTTTATGGTCTAAGAAGGCAAGGCGGGTCACATGATGGTAAGTATACCACCTCAAAAAGTCGCAAGTGCTTGGTCGCCCTTTGAGTACCCACCCCCAAAAGAGGCTATCCATAAATTACGTCACACGAATTTCATGGTTTTTTCACCCCCACCCCCAGTCCTTGTCACAGCTGGTCACATTTGTGAGCCTTTGAGTTCTACAAAATATTAAATTAAAATAGCAGTTCTAAAATTAGTTTTATTATCATTAAAGGTTTTTTAAATAAAATCAACATCAAACTATTGAAAAACTTAACAAAACGATTAATTGTATTACTGTCGTGTGTGTGTTGTGTACTTAGATATATTAGGTTTTGAAATGTGACATCACAAAACTTAGGACCCGTCCCACCCCTTTTCATATAATGCCACACTTCGCCGACCCCCTCTCCCCTTTACATATGATGTAATTTATGAATGGCCTTAGATCAGGGGGAGGGATCGGGCTTCAGCAACTTGACTCACTAGGTGTAAAGCGACGAAAGAGTTGCCCAACACTGATTTTCTGTGAGGCCCTGGTATCACTGAGTCCTAGCATGTCTCTCCCACAGTTTTATAATATCATCTTTGTCTTACAGTATAAACTGTCTCCGCACCCACTCAGTGCAGGAGCTGATGAATATACTATCGAAGGAGTGCGGACTCCCACTCGACACGTCGTTGGAGAAAGCAAGAGAGATTACAGAGAAATATAACCAGAAACTCATGTTTTCACCAGGTGAGAGTTTTTATAATTACATATTTTAATTTTTTTTTTGTCTGCCTCTGTGATGTGGTGGCTGGGTATGCGGCTGCTGTGCTGATGTCCGGGTCCTACCAAATGCTTGTAGTATCTGCAAATATTTGTTTCGGAGTTTGGGTGTCTTCTATATATAATATGTATGTATTTACAAAAAAAAAAGTATTCTATCAGTCAATCTAGCATTTATAATACAAACTCTGCTTAGTTTGAAACTAGATGGCGTTGTGTGTTAGATGTCCGAAATATTATTTTTATTATCTTTTATACCTTTTTTTTTGTATTAAGGATGACTGCTTTTTGTAAGAGTATGAGAGAGGATTTCGGCATTTCCACTTTGTTGAGGCTATCTTAAAAAGTCTTCGGGACTACACCAGTTTTAGATATGACAATGGGTACAATTTGAACTCTTATCAACCTGCCTTTTTATTTCAGTTGCTAAGTCCATGTCTTTTGTCATTTTTTCTGGGTGCGTCGCGAGGAGATTATTATTTAAATTAACAAGATATATACGGCCTGACTCACCTTAGTCCGACTGGCAAAGAAAATTATTCTAGGTCTTCATACTACTGATATAGAGTAAGAAAAAGAAGCATAACAGACAAAAAATATCAAAATGCGAATAAAAATGTTATTAAGACATAAAACATAATTAAAAGACCTGTCGATTTGTAGATCTAGTGGTTATTAATTCTATCTGCTTAGCCAGAGGTCGTGGATTCTGTTCCCCCTTCCTCCTAAAGACAAATGATTGTGTAATGAGTACGATTATTTCTTTTATATTTCTATCTATACATATGTATAGAAATATATGTTTCGTTATATGCTAATCAGTAGTGTGGTTACGATAGTACAGGCTCTGCCTAATGTGGAATTAAACGACTGTTTCAAGCTATTGTCAAGTTATAAATACTTTAAGTAAACTTACCGTTGCTGATAATGATTTAATACCATAATGGGGTAGATTCCTAGGTTTAAAATTAATTATTTTTCCTGCATCATTAAATGTATAATCTTAAAGTACAGCCTGAATTGTATCAACCATACCGAGATCAATTTAATGTCTGTATTGATTTGATATCTATGACGTCACAAAATAGTATTTCAAACAAAAATGTACCGCGTTTTGAAGTTTAAAAAAGATACTGATTTGAGTTGACAGTCATCTACCCTATTAGTGACGTTTTTGAAATCCCAAGTCCGTTATAAAGCTCATAGTCGCTTTGAAACGAAGACCAGTTGAAAAAGATCTTGATAATTATACAGCTTTTTTTTTCAATAGATTCCGAGCAGATGGCTTATTCAGTTCGTGAATATATAACCTTTGAGGAATGGCCTACCCCCCGGGGCCTCAGGGTCAGGGACAAGGCGACCGCTGTCAAGGTCAAGTCACATTGCACTGATGCAGGTAAGATTATTTTGGAAAAGGTTACTTTGGGTAGACATATTTAAAGCTTATATGGATAACTAGCTTTTGTTCGCGCCTCCGCTTACACATATGTCGGTTATTCCGACAAAAAGTAGTTGACATAAAATAAACTTGCACTAGGCCCTCAGGTGAGCCGTCAGCTCGTTTACCCCTCCCCCCTCCACATATATCATATAAAATATAAAAATAATTAAAGAATATTTCTATAGTAGGTTACATTTCTATTTCAGGTCTAGTATTAGATGGCAGCGTTTCCTTCCCCTTCAACGACGGCACAGAGGCCGTGTTAGAAATACAGCCGGAAGACTCATTGATGACTGTGCATATGGACGATAAGTTACCCTATTAACTTACAGTATTCAACAACTTCATTTTAAGTGTATTTCAGCGCCATCTAGTAAAGGTCGGTCGAACTATATAGTATCCAATGATCCTGCATCGCAGAATGAAAATTTTCGCTGATTAATGTAGAGGAACGGATGTTATAGCATTGAATATGTTTTTGCTTTGTGTAGCATGTGGCAAAGCTTATAATATAAGATTTAAAACTGTAATCTGCTTAGAAAAAGTAAAAGTCGGCAGACTAATTTCATTTAATTATAAATATTCCATAAAGTTATCTCTTTGAAGGGTTCTGAAACCTCACTGTGTTAGTTTAAGGTACCCTGCATCTACCTGCTTAGAATGTTCTAGAGAATTATACATAAAAATATTTAGTGTAATGAATCCCCTGATGTAGTATAGCTAGTATGTAACGTAATAAGTATGACGTCTAATGGCTTAGTGAAATAAATCAGCTATTTTTAGACCGCCTAGTTGCCACTTAAAGAAGTCAAACTGAGATTTTAAGAAGATAAGTGCAAAAAAGTAAAAAGAAATAAAGTTCATTCACTTTAAGGTACTTACATAATTTTGGGACCCTAATGACTTAAGATTTAGTACCCTAGCGCCTAATAATGTGCCTGATTCTTCCTCTTATTATTAGCTTTTTAGTTGATGTGCATTGTTATAAAATAACCTTGTAGTGCAGAAACAAATTTATGAACTTGAATCACAAATTAATGCCAATAAATTTTCCCATTATTTCCTAAAATTATCTCTATACATTAAGATAAAATGGGTTGAGTGTTCGGTTCTTCTTCCAAAAGGCAGTTCGAGTTACAGGCATGCGATCCTGCTCCCCCTTACGCACCATAAATGAAATGGAAGACGATGGCATCCTTCTATCGCCGTCCACTGCTGAACGAAAGCCTCCTCCAATGAGCGCCAACTATAACGGTATTGGACGGTCCGCATCCATCCGCTGCCAGACACTTTCTCCAAGTCGTAGCGACGATTTAAAGAAAGTGACTGGCAGCAGACGACGCGTCCTTCCATCATAAATTTCCCACTCATAAAATAAAAATATGTGTTTTTTTAGAAAAAGTATAAATACATATCATTTTCGATTGTATAGTATTAATAATTCCATGTGGGTTACATTTGTAAATGTAACCCAAATTGAAGTATTTGCAAATGTGGTGGTCTCTGCAAATTATTTTTAGAAGAAAAATTGATATTTTGCTCCACGCTTGTAACAGTTCCGAAATATTCAGAATTCCAAAATAAATATAGTAAATGACCCGTTTATAAAAGTTAACTTATCAAGTGAAAATGATTATGGGATCGGCAATTGATATGCCTATAATGCATTACATTAATAGTTATCTATTTACATCTGTTGAGGTATATAATTTTATTTAAACTTTGCTAACTCACAAAAAGCAAATATACAATATAGTAAAAGTAAGTTAATTAAGAAAAAATAAAGTTAAAAAAGTATTGTAGTGTATCTAGACGCCTGAAATGTCTGTGATTATTTTAATATTGTTTTACGCGTGTTTTACCACCGATTAAATCTTGTTGTACCATTAATGTTTTATAAAAGCCAATCAATGATAATGCATGTCATAGAATTAGTTTTTCAAAGGTCTGGTAAATTGTAAAACTACTATTTTAGTAAATAATTGAATACTATTTATGTAGCAACATCGGTAATGGGGGGAAAATGTGTACATATTACAGATGTGTGTGGTCATTATTATATTATCGTATCATAAACCGTTTTTTAACAAACGGAACGACGACCAGAAGTATTTGACGTATTAAAAGATATTGCGTTAGTTAAAAAATAAATAAAGAAATTGACATGAAAATTGATAAAAAAAGAAAGAAAAAAAGATCAAAAAGTAAGCATTAAAAAAATTAAGAATTAAATATGGAAAAAAGTCTTTAAAAAAAAATTAAATTATTTATTATTTTCTGCAAAGAGAAGGAAAACTTAAAACCAACCCGTCTGGCCAGCGTGGTATAGTAGGCCAAAACCTCCATTGTAAGGAGAGGCCTATGTCCAGCAGTGGACTGTTAGGGCTGTTGATGATATATTTTTTAGTCTAAAGTTAATATAATATATATAATCGACCTGAAATGTGACCACACCATTTTGTAACAAGTGTTCCTGCTATTCTGTTAACACTCACTCTACATAGTCACACCCATCATTCTGACTACGGGCTTTGGAGGGGTTAAAATAGTAACTGAAAAATCATTCTCATAAGGTGACCCGTCTGCTCGTTCACATCCCTATATCAAAAAGAAAAAAAGCTAAGCTTTAAAAGATATATAAATCAAAGGGCTATATGAATCCCCTCTTTCTATTGGGTATGGCTATGTATTTTCATATAACCATTTTTTTTTAAATTTTACATAATATAGACTTTGCATGTAGGTACAAATTTTATGTAAAATGTAAAAAAAGGTTTGTTATAAAATAGGATTACTTTTTACACTTTTTACATTTTATTGCATTTTTTTAGTCGTAAAATTTCAGCTCTTTAGTTACTTTTTCTTCATGGTGATGAAATAAGCCCGTTGGTATTTAGTTAAAAAATGTTATATCGTTCTATATACTAAGCATAATAATTACTATTGTTAAGACTGAAGGCTTAGGTTTAAGTTTTTTTTTTCGTAACCTTAATAAGTATGAAGAATACAGGCTTCTCGTTTTAGTCATACAGTAGATCGTCTCTGTAACTAACATACATATATTTAGTTCAATAAGTTTTATATTATTATGGGGAAATATGTACAAAATGGTTTGCCTATAGTAAAAAAAGTAATAGTAAAAAGTAATAATGATCGTGATGCTACAAGCCACTATAATAAAGAATTATAGATAAACCGCTTAATTCAGCACTCGCCGGTACAGGAGGGTAGGAGCAGCTCGATAAAAAAAAAGAATAAAAAGCCTTCCGCCCGCACCTCTTCCGGTCTCTGGAGACGCGAGCTTCTTATTCCTTTTTTATCAATTTTCTTATTTAGAATAGAACTAATATATGATAAATACTGTTTTTTTTACTAAAGTAACAGCCAGTGTATTTAAAAATTTGTCAGGCTAGTCCATATCAGCAAAAGATCAGTAGTAAAGGTTTGCACGAATGAGTTTACGCCTGTTTATGATTATTATAGACCTATTATTTTATTTTATTCCTAAATCACACTATTTTCATTATTTCACTAACTTTCTTCGTCCACGTTTCCTTCTAGTTCCTAACTTGTACCTTACTTCTTAATGTTTTCTCACTTGTATTGGTAAAGATAATCTTTCATTAGTCGGTCGGAGTCTGTTCCACCTTAAACGCAGTTAACAATTTGGGACATTTTGTCACTGACCCCAGAATCCACCACCTCTATGTAATTTGAATTCGCTGTGATGTGTAAACCGGAACTTAATCGAGTCCCAGTATAAACTTCCAAATATACGTTATGTAACAACCACATTTGAGTACATTCTCTATCCACTAATGAAAAGCGCCTTTATGTGTAAACTTTTGCCCTTATTCAAAATTAAATTGGATAAAACATCACAATGGCATATTATAAGAAATCTAGTAACTAAAATAAGACAATTACCGTTCCATGAGATATCGGCATCTATATTTTGCATGTGATAATCCTGCCTCTTTATTGTTTAGTAATAATAAAATGCTTTTGGCATTTTCGTACAGAAATAAAACTTATAATAATAATATGAGTGTATTTGTTAATGTCGTTATTATTTTAATATTCCAATAGTACTTGGTTACTCATATATGTTAGGGTTTGATTTCGCTGTCATGAAATACGAAAATTATTTGACTTAGTACCGCAAATGTCAGTTTTTGTGCTTAATACAGTTTAGTTGTGAACATTTTAAGCAGATTTTAGTCAACTTTGATTGCAAAATTTGATTTTAAACATTGTAGTTTATCTGATAACCACTCAAACAAACTTACTTTATCTTGTTTAATGTGACTGGTGGAGAATTTAGTTACATAGTTTGAATTCAACACTCAAGAAGTAATGCATGATTGTAGCTTTTTCGAGAAAATTCGCAGATGTCTCTGTTTTATGGGTTTAAATAATGTATTTATCTTATCGTATGTTCTATTTATATGTTTATGATAGCCTTTTTTTTGTGTATTTTCGAAATGTTTGTATACAAGTGGTTGTTCGACTTTAATATATACATAAAGTTGTTTATTTATTTTTTTCTTTTACATATAAGTAAATCTTTCTTTAGTTGTAAGGCCTATTTTCCTTCATATTTTCTTAAAGATTTTATTTAAAAATATATATGAATTGTGTTTAACGCAATACGCAATTTCTACTGAAACAAAAACCTTTCATAGATTCCTATTTAAGATTTTTGTACTTATTTTAAAATGCTTGCTTGCAATTTAGCGATACAGACACACATCACTTTTCTATCAGCAAGGATACTAAAGAAATTTCAGTAAGTATATTACAAATGTAAAAAAAAACAATCGGTTTGTATCAAGTCAGTATATTTGTTAAAAAAATGTACACTGTCTTATATCTCGATATCGTTCCAGAATCCCATTGTATTAAACTAGTTATTATAATAATTAGTAGAAACAAAACTAAAAAAAAGAATAACAATGGGATAGTATGAAACGGATATCGATATAATTCGTTTTTACTTTACATCACTTCATTTTGACAGCCTTAGGCACTGTCCATTAGTACTTTACATTAAGTACTGAAGGATATATGTCACAATTTGCCATACGACATAGGCAGTACAAGCCAAAAAGCAACATAAAAACCCACATTAAAAAATAGCACCGTTTGGACGGATTACTGGCAGAAGAAAACTTAAATTTAACTTAAAAAATATGGCATCCATCATTGTCCAATATTATAAGAGTTTTAGTTCATATAAATAAACTAAATCGTTCAAATAAATGAACTAAAAAAAAGTGTAAACCGCTGAAGAAAACTTGTTCCCGCCACCGTTTAAGAAACCAAAGGCCTGTTGTAACTGGAAATTTACAATAATATGTTAAGCTGTTATTAAATTTTGCAAAAGGAATAGGTAGAAAAGCAAAAACAATAAAAAGCCGCAATTAAAATTTTGGCATTTGTATGCTAAGTATAATACTTTCATGTGTTTTGAGTTATGCAACTAAGGGAGCATCTATTAATTATATGAGTTCAACTTCAAATTCAAATAATTAATGGATGACCCACAATATCTAGTTTCACAGGCCTTTATATCACCCTTAATAAGATCCATGACTATCGGTCATCTAATCTACAAACATTTTTACGTAACGCAAGGCAACCGTTATTAACTCATAAATCGTAAATAAACTTACATTAGTAATATATTGACATTATGAGACTGTTTAAGGACGTATACGAGAACAAATTATCACAATAATCATTGCTTTTAATTAAAAAATATGATTTTAAAACATGCTTTTGAAATTACTGTTGGTCTTTACGAGTGTATATGAGCTTAATAATTTTCAAATAAATCTGGGAAATGTCAAATGTCTATTGGGAATTTGAAATTCAATTGGGACATTTCAAATATTATTATTTCAATATTACTGCCAATATTTAAGTATTTATAGCAACGCTTTAAGGGTTAAATGCGATTTTATTATAAAAATTCTCAACAAGACTTGTTTTAAAATCATACTTTTAGAATTTTACATGTCTAAGTATTCTTGGAGTGTAATAACATTGCAAACATACAATAATTAGACATCGTTGCACTCTATAGAATATGTAAATGGTAAAATCTAATAAAACTGGTAATACACTAAAACATTACAAACTAAAGTATGACTCAAAAGTTGTGTGCGACACACAACAAAACTAAATCACTCAATATATAATGAAAATTAAATTTTCTTAGTCAACACATTTTCGAAAGGGCGTAATTAGCCATACAATTCGATACCTTACTTCGTTTTTAATATTAAAAAAAATTCGATGTTTTGGAAACCAATAAGAGAAGTCCAATATAAAATGGCACTTAGCATAGACACAATCGTTATAGTCAGGGAGCTGATGATAGTTTTTATTACAAAATAAAATTTAGTCGATGTTTTTCACAGTGTGTGTCGTATGCGTGAATATTGTACCAAAGTAATCACTTTAACTTGTATGCGAGTATCCAGTGTTCGTGTAAGGCCCGCTGTATAACGAGCTGCCGGTTCTGGAGTACGTCTTAGGGCTACGCCTTCTCGCCAGTATAAAGGCAATGGCTGCTATGACGCAGATCATTAGGATGATGCCCGCTATGCTAATGCCGATTGCGAAGTTCCTTGATGATATGCAGATTTCGTCGTCCTTCTGAAATTTTAGTAAAAAAAAGTGTGCTTAATTAGTTTAACTGATAAAGGTGCGTTTTGTCAGCGTGTCAATTAGTGTAGCATGACAGTGTATTGGATAGTGAGCAGATGTAATTATTTGAGAAAACTTCTTCGAGTAACCATATTCCTTAAGCATACTATTAAAGATTAAGGCGAATAATTAAAAAGTTGGTAAACATTCGTTCGTTTTAGTCATTTTTGTTTCTAAAATATAGTCATTTTTTAAATACTTAACTCCAGCTAAACTTAACTTATTGATGTACACAATCTTTCCTCCCCCCTTCCTGCAATCTGTACAAATCATTATGTGTAAATGGACGGAAACGTGTAACAGGAAGCCGGGGAAGCGTTCTATATTTGATTAGAGGCTCGCTCGTTTTTTTTTGCCCATGTCTGTTTAACAACTACATTTAAGTGTAGCTATTTGGAGAAAGGTATCTGCTGTTTTTAAAAATAAGTCGGTGATACATTTATTTCAGGTTGATTATTCAAGAGCAAATAACTTAAGTTTTTATAAATAAGATTACCTTCTCGCTGGTCACTTCGTCACCATCAGGCGAGTCAGCTTCATTGACGTACAATCCTTTGAATACCTCGACAGTCGCAGGCGAGCCTTCATCGTCACGACGCACACGACGTTTGTGCGAACAAGGTTCCTGGAAATGTGTTAAGCATGTATGTAGCACATTTATTGAAGGCAGGCGTAGCATGCAATTGCGTAAGACTTGCAAATTTGGTAGTAGTAGTAAAAAAATAGTAAAATAGTAATTGAACTGGAACATCTTCTTGTACTTTTGTATTTAATATTAATTATCTAACTACGCACTTAATTCTCTAACATCGCACTTAATCATATAGTACTTACGCAATCTGTTGGATGATTCAAGTCACAAAGCTTGACTTCGCAGGTGTAGTAAACGCTGGCAGTGTAAGGGAATTTGTGGGCTGGGAAAGACACGCGTGCGGTTTGTTTGTCGCTCGAATACTGGAACATGCCCATTATCTCTCCATCTAACGGGCACCTGTCAAACAAGAAGATTTCTTGTCATCAGATAAATAAACCCATAAAAGAAGACCGGCAAGCCTTATCACTTACTGGTTTACAAAATATATTATTCACCTAGATGTTAATTGCCATATAATTATCATATCTTACCCGTCATCAGCGATCAAGCTCTGTTCGGCCCAGCCCAACCCGTCTCTCACGGAACATTCCGAGACCAGGAGACCAAACTGCCGCTGCTTCTCTAACGATACCACCAAAGTCAGGGTGTCACCAATACGTACATTGGACGCCACCTGAAATCAACATTTCAAATTATATATCAATAGAAACTGGATTGGGAAACAAAAGGCTTAAATTATTGTGAAACGTAAATATTTAGTCGATTAATGAATATTAGTTCGTATCATTGCACTACTGTCATTTAAGTGAGTCGGATTTCATTTAACTGTAAATGAAAGGGTCTAATGGAATCCTAATGAAAGTCTCATTGGAAAAAATCACTTAAACACAATACATCCTTAAAAATATTATAAAAGATAGAAAAAATTACATGACTCACTTGTTTATCTTCAGGGTCCCCTTTGTAAATCTTCATCGATACGGATGGTAACAGTCCTGAGTCTTCATCGTATTCATTACTGAAAAACACAACATATTTCAGTCAAATTACAAATAAACAAAACATTTAGTTTATTCTAACAATATTAATGATAAAATGGATTATCCGCTTCAATTGTTTTAGTTGTAAATAATGAAAACTTGAATTTATTTTCGGATGTTTTTGTAACGTTAAGTGCAATTCATTTAATAGACTGATGGATTTTAATATGCCTAATATTAGATGAATTGATTTGCTAATTCAGTAATCTTCTTATTCTTGATAAAAGGAGAAAAGTGTTTAAAATAAGTTCAATTTCTCTAAAGGCGTTTGTAGTTGGTAGTTTAGGTCATCTTTGCAATATAGCATTGTAGTATGTTTTTGTGTGTGTGTAGAAGCAGTAACGTAAACACCATAGACACTAAAGTATCCTACTACTACCACCGTTGCTATAGAAAACGACATGAATACTTAATATTGTGTAATTATGATTTTAAGCCCCCATCCATTGACGGCCTGTAAGCCAGGACGGTTAATGACTGCGCGGTTTATTTACGATGAACCCCACCTTTGTGTAGTGACCTCGAAGCTCGACCACCCACGCAAATAATAACTTTTTATAGTATTTAGTGCGTTTTCTAGAATTAAGTGCTTACTTGTCATTCAAGTCATCACTTAGCGAGTTTGTTAGTCGGTCTGCTCTCGGCCTGTATAGATGGAAGTGCGTGAGATCTCTTCGCCTGTATCTGCAGAGGACGTGGTACCCTCGACCCTGCCCTGTCACCAGTCGGAGATGGGGCTGGACTATTATGTTGTTGAAATATTCTACTGTACCGTCCTCCTGCAATTGAAGAAAATGAAAGATTAAATTTCGTTTGTTTTTTACCTCCTGTGTTTTGTTCTTCTTACTGAAATTTATTAATAATCTTTCGTCTTTTTGTATTTGTTTGGCCAAACGAGCAGATTAGTCATCTGATGGTGAGGGACTACCGCCGCCCATTTACACCTGCAACTGAAAACTGACAAGTGCTTTGTCCTTGAGAGCCCTGTCCAAAATCAGCGAGGAGGGATTTTTGTTTTGGTAACCTCGCACACTCTGTGATATAAAACCCGAGAATTGCTTAGCACTGGTTTGCTCTAAGGACTGAGTTATCACTCCGGTCGAGCAGGCCCATATTTGCCGAAACATGTCTCTCCCACGGTTAAATCTATGTTACTTGATATCTTAGTCATTTATGAATAATAATAATAACTTCACACATCTCATACACGGCCGTCTGATCCCAAACTAGGCAGAGCCTGTGCTATGGTAACCAGACCGCTGATTAACATACTTATATATTTTTAAATACATACATATTATAGATAAATTACACCCAGACACAGAACAAATGACCCTGCTCATCACACAATATTTGTCCTGGGTGGGAATCGAACCCACGACCTCCGGCTTAGCAGTCAGGGCCACTAGCCACTAGACCAACAGGCCCGTCAGATTGCGATTATTCGCTTTTTAAATGTTGACAATTTAGGGCTTAAAATCTATAGTGTTTTAACACACTGTAGATTTTAAGCCCCAAAAAATTTAACTAAACGTAATTTAACTTATGATTATTTTATCAGAACGAAGTCGAGGATATTTTTTTTAAAGTCAATTTATAGAATACAAACGTACAAACACAATCCTACCGTGTCTATAAACCTCCGGTCCACCGGTGGCCTGTGTTGCTCTATTCTGTAAACCACTATAAATATCCATTACCCTTTGTCAGAAAATCTATAGAGATGTACATACTAATCACCAATAAGTCGACGTTACAAGGTTTTTTATTATATGCGGCGAGTTATCAGCAGTCAGGGCACTCATTAATAACATGCAATTGTAGTTTACGAGCGAGAACAAGGTCTTTTTAAGGAGGACACTGGCTTACTTCATAAACAAGTAGCCTGCTGAAGTAAATATTACTTAATAAATATTATACAGAGTTTAAAATGTAACCAAAATCATCTCTCTATCTATACCGATGTATAAAAATGTTAAGTTGGTTTGTTGGTTTTTTACTCCAAAAGTTGTGCACCGATTGTCCTCAAATTTTGACACGATATACAACCACTTCAAGAATGGTTTTTATCTCTTTTTCGCGTCAATGTTGTTTATCATTCATCAATGCAATTTCAAGCATATTAAGTGACAAAGTACAGTTAGTTATCCATACTAATATTATAAATGCGAAAGTGTGTCTGTCTGTCTGTTTGCTTAAACCGCTGAACCGATTTTGATGAAATTTGGTATAGAGATCGACCGAATCCCGGTTGAAAAGGTAGGGGAAAAACGAATACCGCTTTTTTAGCCGCGCTCAAAAGTTACGATTACATAGTACTAAACAAGTTAAACTAAAAAAGCAACCCTTTAATGCCGAATCAAATCAAAAAGTAAAGGAGTCTTCCTGCCTTGCTTCCACATCAGACTATGCTCTATCTGTTTGAGAAAAAAATAGATAAGCTGAATTTGAAGCCTAATTTGAAGTACCTATACATTTTCACCCCATTGAGTTTTTTCAATAATTAGTTTGGTATACTTTTATTTTATCTAACATAATCTATTATATAGCTATAAAAAGGCCGCAAAGGAATATCAATAAAATAAAACTACCAGACCGTAACTCAGCCTGCATTTCAAACGGTTCAAGTCAATTTCCTTCCAAAATTCGTGACGTGCGCGTACGCAGCCGGACGCGCCGGATGTGATGTCACGTCCCCCTATTGTTTAACTACTTGCCATGCGTTGACCCAACTCTGGAACACTTTTATGGGTAATATTTAAAAAGGGGATTTTTTAATACAAGGGTGGCTTTTTACTCAACACTCAAATTACTAATCAAGCGAATAGCCCGGCGGGTGGTCACTTGTTTATATAATTGTAATTATATAATTGTAACTCGAAACAGCACGAGTACTCGTATATAGCCGTTGTTTTCATATTTCATATGTCAGCCGCCACCACTTTTTCTGTGTGATATGATTCTTGTTGCTGAGTTATAACTAAAGGGATGTTACAGCTACTGTTATAAACTGTCATCACCACAATACAAATAGAATGGTACTACAGGACGAAAATTCTTGCTCTAAAAATCAGTAAGCAGTTGGTGTTTGAAACTCCTTCGGAAGCTGAATTTATGGATCCTGTAATCATGACTCACTTTGCTTACTGTATAATCTCACCGACATATGCAACGGTAAAATTAGGTATGTACATACAGAAATACGTTAATAAGTACGTACGTATGTACAAAGATGCATAAATACAAGTATGCTTAAAGGAGTCGGCAGAGGCGTACTAACGCGTAATTTTATTGCGATTGCAACTCAATTACGGTCTACCAAGCGATTTGGAACGTCCTTTCTAAGGAGAGGCCTATGTCCAGCAGTGGACTGTTAAAGGCTGTTAATGATGATGAAGCATTTTAGGGATTGGACGCGAAAAGTGTAGCCGCGAAGTGTGTGTTTTGAGTACATAAATTGAAAGGAATGGTACATAAGCAGCGAAGGCACTGGTGGTAAAGGGATATCCTGATGGATTAGGTCCCAATCATTGAGGAATTTAACCTATAGTTTGAGCAGGTCAGGTTCGCATATCTATATACCTCCAATTGGCTATCACCCCTATCAAATATAGGTATTATTGTATTGTATTATAATTACTAATATTGTAAAACCAAAGAACAACAATCTTTTGGGTGGTTTTTCTTTCTTAATATAGCAAAGGATGGATATTTTAAATAAATATATAAAGGTAAAAGAAGAGTTTTTTCGCATATAGCATCTAAACTATACTACGTGACTCACGTTTTTTCTACTATCAATTTTGTGATTTTAATTTCTATTTATGAAAAAAAAACAAATCTGTCACTAGAAAAAGCTACCCGTGATCATATAAAACGAAAAGAAAAGCATCGAATACTGAAGAGTCTGGTTATTAACAAAAAGCAGTAAGTCTCGTCACAAAATTGCTTGAAAAAATAAAACAAACATTAAAAAACAACTAGATTATATCACTGACAGTATTAATTCGTCGATTTTAAGGCTATTGAGGCCTCAGACTGTTACGCAACATATCTGTGTCACCCATCTCGTCCTGCCATATCCGAATGTACTAAATTCATATACTCCATCTACCAGTTTTCGCCAATCAACCGGCAAGGTCGTGAAAAGGTCAGTTGTCTTTCGCCAAATAAAACTAAACCTGTTTGTGTCGGTTCTCGATACTTTGAAGCTTCGCATTCATTTCGAGTTGGTGCGGTTATTTTATAGGCTTCTTTTTTATGAGTAATAAATAATTAAATCAGCTCGAAAATAAAAGTGTAAGAGGCGGCGGAGTACAGTAGTGTTTTGAAATAGTTGATGACCTTCATTTTACTCGTAAATGGAAATTGTATAAATCGTTCTAGAAGTACATGTGAAAGGATGGTTGGCATGTTCAAAAACAAAGATTTAAGTAGATTATAATAGATGTTTTCAGTAGTTTCACTGGCGTATAGTCACTCCAATTTGGTAGGTATTCCGTATAAAGCTTATAACATTACTTCAAAATAAGGCTATCAAACATCAAACAAACTTCAATTCGAATTCCACTTCAATTCCAATTCCACTCCAATTCCAATTCTGGTTATTCTCGATAATATCACGTTTAATCAAACGAATAATAAATAAAAATCAACATTATTTTGAGTAATTTAACACCACGTTACGAAATAATAATAAACTTACATACAGCCGTCTGATCCAGAACTAGACATAGCCTGTGCTATAATAATCGTACTAGTGATAAACATTATTCTATATTATATTATTAAATACATACAAGATTTTAGTTTAAACAAATTTAAATCCACATTAAGGCTTAGGCTGCGTCGGAACTCAGAAGGCCTATTACTCGACTGTGGATCTCATAGAAGACAAGAATGCTTGGGATTAATTTAGAACAGGCTGTTTTTAAGTGGAAATGTAGTGTGGGCTAGTGTATATTTTTTATCATTTTATATGTTTTACTTCAGTTTCAATTCTATTATTATTTTATTAATTATTTTTCTATTGTGGTGCAATATTATTATTATTCTATTCCATCTATTTTCTTTATCTTGTTTTCTCTTCATTGCTTTTACCTTTTAGTCCTTAATAACTGGATACTAGCGCACATCAAAACAATGTTGTTAAATATATTTAATGATGCGACTGTATGTAGCTGTAATTAGAAAAGAGTGGCCGTGAGTTTGTTTGCCCTTTCTTCTCATAAGGTTCAAACCCCTTGGAAACGGGCGTTTGTAGATCGGCACAGGCATATGATGAATTAACTTCCTTTTGCTAAATATTTGACAACACAGGTTGTGGCTATTGTGTGTGTTGATCTATGACTTTATAGTCTAAGACGATTACAAACAATTTTTTTATGAAATAAAGACAGTTTGAATGTATTTTAGCATATTATAGTTAAATAATCTACAAGTACCTATCAAATGATAGTGCTTTTCACGAAGGTTCGACTACTCATACAGTGAGAAGAAAGAACTACTATTAAAGTTAGGAGACTGATCGTTCTTTGTAACACTTTTTAATGAAAATAGGCCATTGTATATCAGTATTCAATTCATTTTCTAGTTTTTACTTTTTGATAGAGTTTTCTTATCACTAAACAAGTGAGGACAAATAAGGATAAAGTAAAATACTTTCGTAAATCTATACCTGAAAGTAGAAACGAGTTGTAGCCACATTACTCACTTAAGTGAATGTCCTATCTAGGGGAAAAACAAGTAGGAGAAGAGGCAGAACCTTTTGTATTGACTG